CTTCACTGGTGGATAGATCCCACTCAGGAGGTGTGAAGTGCAATGATAACTCCATCCTTCATAATTTTTGTGTTATTGCCCTTACTATTTTTTCATACTTATATTTACTTATATTCTCACTCGAGTTTAGCATAAGTCTTTGAGATGTCAACATGAAACCTCATAAGTGGATAAGTCTTATTAAGGAGGAATGCTGTGTGCAAGAATGACAACTCTACCCTTTATAATTTTTTAGTTATTGTGCTTCATAGGTGGATAGATGTATTTGAGGAGGAGTGCAACACACAAGAATATTAACCAGTCCCGCATTTTTTTAGTAATTGCCCTTTGTTATTTTTCATACTTATTTTTTGTCCAGAGCATAACTTAAAAGCTTTTGAGATATCAACATGAAACTTCATAGGTGGATAGATCTCTCTCAGGACGTGTGCAGTGCACAAGATTGTTAACTCTACTTTTCATAATTTTTGAGTTATTGCCCTTTGTAATTTTTTAAACTTAAGTTTTTCCTGAGTGGAGCATAACTCAAAAATCCTTGAGATGTTAACATGCAACTTCATAATTATGTGAATAGATCTTATTGAGGAGGAATGCTGTGCATAAGAATGATAACTCTACCCTTTACAATTTTTGAGTAATTGCCCTTTTATTACTTTTCATACTTTTTTGTCCGGAACTTATCTCAAAAAAGTGTTACAGGTATCAACATAACACTTCATAGGTGGATAGATCGCATTGCGGCGGAGTGCAGCACACACGAATGATAACATAACCTGCATTATTTTTCAGTTAATGCCCTTTGTTAATTCAGTCATCAGTATTCACATAGGTATCAAATCTGTCATCACTTCAGCCATCAGTTTTTATTAACAAAATACCTCTTAAAATTGAATTATTCTGCTCTACTACATATACATTCTTCTAATGAGCAAGAACATTCGGTGGGGGATTGACATATTAAAATGGCTCTTGTTTTAGATTAAGTTATATGCTTATTAAATAAGGCTATTTACTGAAAGTCTCTTAGATTTACATGTATGCTTTAGACGGATTTAGAACTAGTTCTATCATATCATAGTTGCCATTTTTTCTCTCATTTGCTTTTCATACACCCACAAACCCATTTTTCTTTTTCTCAGAAAATACAATACTAGTCTATAACCTTGATATAGCCCAAAATAGTTTTAACTACACAAGCAGTAATATTAGCTAATGGATTCAGTATATAGAATTCAATGTAGTTTTAGGTTTTATTAGTCCCCTACCGGTTTACCGGAGGGGACTTTAGGTTTACCCTCCGTCCGTCCGTCTGTCTGTCTGTCCGTCTGTCTGTTAGTCCGTCAGTCCGTCCGTCCACAAAACTGGATCCCGCGATAACTTGAAAAGTACTGAAAATATTTTTATAAACTTGATATATGGATAGATGGCAGTATGGAGATTATGCACATCTTTTTCTTTTCTTCCTATGTTGAAAATTCTGGTTGCTATGGCAACAAATAGGCTGAAAATATGGCAAATTTTACACATAAACTGGATCCAGTGATAACGCAAAAAGTACTGGAAATATTTTTATGAAACTTGAAATATGGGTAGATGGCAGTATGGAGATTATGCTTTGCTTATCTGTTCTTCCTATTTTGAAAAAATATTGGTTGCCTTGGCAACAAATAGGCTTAAAACATGGCAAATTTAACAATATTTGTGATTAGTCAAAAAGAGCTGAAAATCTTTATGAAATTGCATCTTTAATTCAAGAGTTATCTCCTTTTTAAGAATTTTGCTTTTAAAAATGTTATATTTTGGTAACAGGGATGTTTCAAATATTAACTTCAGAGTGTCTTTCAGTCCGTCTGTCTGTCTGTTCATAAAAACTGTTTCCTGTGATCACTTTTAAAGAACTTGTCCAACAAATTTACTTCAAATAGAGAAAAATTGAAACATTAGTGAATGGCCAATGACCCTTCAGAATGTTGATGGGGTTCTAACCGGTAGGGAACTTATGGATTGCTTTCAATACTATGATAATTGCTTGTTTCTTTATGGCTCAATAATTAATGTTTTTGACTGAAACATACCATTCTTCAATGCCGTTTAGGTCAGCAGCTCCTATTAGGGATTTTGAATTCCTTTTTATGAGTGTGTTGTAAGATTGATGGTTTATTTAGGTTCTGCCTAGTGCTAATAAGTTGAATGGAGGTGCACTCTATATACCAGTACACCTAGGAAGCAGTCATATGATCTAATAACTGTTTTACAAAAGAAATGCAGTCATTAATGTAGTTTGAGTCTTTGTAAATGCATCTTTAACTTACTTATCAAGGCTGTTGATGGTGTAATTGATTACATTTCAACAACAGTGATAGGTTATATTAGAATATGTAAAAATGTTAAAGATAACTATGCTCAAATTTGATATTTGAAAATATCAATAGTTTCTACACTATCTTTTTGATTTCACAATATGTTATATTTTAAACCTACACACTATGGGGACACAATATGACTATAAAGTGTCCTTAAAAACTAGAACTTTGACCGTAATTATTTATTGAGTGAATTTATTATCTGATGTAAGGCATGATAAGTGTACTTACTGAAATTATGTCATGTGGCTTACAAACAAAGACTCAAAAACAAGTTCGTCATTTGAATATCACTTTGAAAATGTAACATGGCATGCAGTGAAATAATAACTAGAAATTAATTGGAATGATATTCTCAATAAGAAGTGGAGTTTGAGAGGTACATGAGAAGGTCTTGAATTGTTTACTCAAACACCTGATTTGCTACTTTTTCTCAATTTCTTTGTTCATTTTTGTATTTTATATTTTATTTATGTTGTTAAAAATTGGTTCCAATGTTGTCTCGTGAAAATAGACTAGACTTTGTTATTGTTCGATTAAACATCTTTTATTTTATTTATTTTATTTTTCAAATTGATTTTCTTTTCATTAAAATGTTGTGTGTGTTTTTTTTGTTTTTTTTTTTGTTTTTTTGGTTTTTTTTCATTTTTCAATTCTTGATTTTTTAGCAGTGAATTTCATTTTATGCTTTAATAGTAATCATCTTTAAACAAAGCAAAAAGTATATGTTTAAAGATAAAACAAATGCACATTATAACTTTTTTTTTAATGTGATGCTAGAATAGTGTCTTTATCCACTTAATTTTTGTTGTTTTTTACAATGATTACACAATATATTTTAATGCCATTTTCAAGACAGTGTAAATTATAGCACCGTCATAAATAATATGAGAGGGAAATTTGAGAGTATTTATATACCGTATATCAGTTTTTTTTCGAAACAGGAACAACATGTTTAGAAGGACTCGAGGCTTGCCCTCAACCTGATGGGACCGTCATCTGTGTTGAGAAAGCTATTTGATGTGGTTAGATACTTCTACCCTCCTAATATTTGGCACTCCCATCATCCCCCGCCCTACTCATGAAATGTCACGCACCAACTTGATTTCATGTAAATAATTGTCTAGAATTGATATTCCCGCTCTTTTTTGTCAGCCACTGAAATGCATTGATGCAGAAAACTATTAAGATATTATTTTCAGAACTCCCAAGACATTTGAAAATGCAGCTTTTTCATTGGCAGTTTTTAAATATTTTCCCATAAACAACCAATCAAGGGCTGAGAAATTTTAAACTTGATTTAAGTAAACAGTTTACTTGTACTAACATTGTTATTATGTGCTTTATGGATAATTTCCTTTTTAGGGCATGCAAAATTTTCTTTATTAGTTTCTTTTAAGGCTACGATTTTCATTTTTTATTGCATGAGGCAAAGTAAATGATGAATGGTTTTCAAATTCTTGAAAATAAAAAAAAACCATGCCTTAATGTAAAATTGAAATTTGACCCATTTTCCAAGATTTTGTTTATTTACTTATTAACACTGAATATAACGGCCTATTTGTATGCAGTTAAAACCATTAACGTAAAAAAAAAAAAATATTATATGCTTTTGTGAAAATATGATTCTAAATGTTTGATATAGATTACATATAGTTTATAGAAGAGCACTATTACGGCATAATTCTTTTTGAAATATCTATTCTTAGTACACATTTTACTTTATTATAATTTTATAAATAACATTTCAATATAGGAAAAGAGCTCATGCATGGCTATATGTCAGACTTTAACTGTTAAAATGTCCATGATTCAGCCTAAATATTTGACCTCTTTGACCAAAAGTAAATAGCCCTTGCCATTCGCATCAAGCCAGGCAAGCCTGCACGCCCTTGCAGTCTGATCTGGCTTTACTGTTAGTTACTCAACTTGAAATCCCTCAAATTTTAAATGGACTCTTCCAAATTCAAAACTGGGAGAATTCATTACACAAATTAAAGTAGTAAACCTTGTATTAAATATGACATCTTGAACTATAAGGGTAACTATACTTGGCCAAACTGCTATGAAGGGAAAGACTGTATTTGGCCAAAAGCCATGAAGGGAAAGACTGTACTTGGCCAAAATGTCATGAAGGGAAAGATTGTACTTGGCCAAAATGCCATGCACGAGTTTTACTAATTTAACCATTTCATTATTTGCTTCCATTATCAAGCATAGCATATCACAGTGACATCATTATTGTAAAATCAGAAGGAAACCAGATTGCAGATTGGTTAAATCTGACTAAATCTGACTAAAACATGTAGATGGCTAGATTGTGTTAGCATTCTGAATATTGAAATCATTGTTAATTGACACCACTGACTAAACAATCAAAGGTGTGTCTATCGTTATCTTAGTCATAGTCTCACTTCTGTATTAAAGGATTGATTTTACAAACGGGTTTGACTGTATTTAGGAAGCTTAGTATCTAGATTATATAATGACACAGGTTACACTGTATTCATAGAAGCTTAGCACCCAGTCGTTTCATGTTCTAAGGACATTTTGTTATGGTTAGTCTCAGAAATCAGCAAATAAATCTGGTAAAAATGCATTGTAAATTTAGTAAAATTTTATGAAAATTTATTACAGAGTGTGCGGATGGAGGATTCCAGTGTGTAGAGGGGCGTAACTGTATCTCGGGTACAAGTAGATGTGACAGCCGTAATGATTGTGCCGACGGTTCTGATGAGGCCAATTGTCGTAAGTTTTAATTCTTTACCCTGCTGGAGCCCCAAAAATATTTATCCTTTGCTAAACCACACCCTGCTGAAGCCACGGAATATTTATCCTTCGCTATCATTATAGAACCTGGCCACCTCTCTCTTCCATGCAGTCTGAGCAGGTTCTATACAGTTTGCTGATCAACTTGAAATTTTCATCTTTTAGTGTTCAATTGAAACTCAACTATTCAAAGGGAGAGCTTTTGTACATATCCATGCTTCTGTGTTGGTGGCGTCACCTTCCACACTTTGGTTAATTTCTTGCTTGTAAGATGGTATTTCCAAAACTACTGAACGGAGTGAGTTAAAACTTCATGCACTTATTTGAGACCGTAATAGGAGATCCACGACTCTTAACATGGATTTAATCAGAATAATGGCAACTGTAAACGTTATCCAGAGTTGTTTTACTATCAAGCAGAATAGTCAACCACGCATTTATTTGTCAGCTCTTGTTGATTAGATAAATGACATGGAAAAGTTGATAATGGAAATGTGTGTGGTTTATTCTACAGAAAGTATTATGTTTTATGTTACAGAAACCATACTTATTTTATGCTACAGAAAGTATACTTGGTTTATGTAACCGAAAGTATACATGATTTATGTTACAGAAAGTATACTTGGTTTAATTGTAACAGAAAGTAAACATGATTTCTGTTACTGAAAGTATACTTGATTTATGTTACAGAAAGTGTACATGGTTTATAGTACAGGACATATACATGGTACTACAGAAAGTATGCTTGATTCGTGTTACAGAAATTATAGTTGGCTTATGATAAAGAAAGTGTATTTAGTTTATGTTACAGAAAGTGTTCTTGGTTTATGTTACAGCATGCCCTTCTGGTTTCTACCAGTGTTTGGACACACCATTTAACCTCTGATGCTGCGTTAATTAACTAAATGATGTCATGATAGCTACTTCTCTGCTAAATGAATTTCAACAAACTTTTAAAATTTATCAATGACGCTTACTGGTCTTTCATGATTATACTAAAATACAATTCTGAACTTGAAGTGTACATTGTTCCAAAAAACAAACTATAAATTGATATTCCCTATAATATAAGGAGGCCTTCAGTCTTGTGTATTGTTCTGTAATTGTTCAAAGGTTGTGGTTTTTACCATCTATGTTAATGTTGTACCTTTAATCTATTTATGAAAACAATAATGTTAATTTGTACAGGTTGTGAAGTCGGCCAGTGGCAATGTGCGAACAAGTTGTGTATACCTGCGAATATGAGATGTGACGGTCCACCACAGTGTGAAGATGGTTCAGATGAAGTTGGCTGTAGAGGTAATGCACCAGTTAAAGTAAATCATTCCCCACCTGCCCCACCCACCCCAGAGCCTCAAAGGCGAATAATAGCGTCTTTGACTTCAGATTTTCTTGTTAAGGCCATGTCCTGTAGAGACAGTCAAAAAAGATTTTCAATTAACTAGTGCATGATAAATGTCTTGTTTGAATACTTTGTGCATTATCAAGGTTTCAACCCTTTTTAGTTATAAAAGCTAGCATAGAAAAGGTTGTTATAAGTTACCATACAATTTGTTTCATGCCAATGCTGAGAAATGTAGAGAAAAATAAAAATGGTTGCTGCTAGTAGATACGATCTGATATTTTATTGATAAATTATACTGTTTACTGTTGTATTACTTGTTCTTATTAACAGCTGAACATGTGATGTAATTATTGTTATTATAGCTACATGTAGTTCAGACCAGTATACATGTTCTGACGGGAATTGTGTCGAAGGGCGAATGAGATGTGATGGTGTCCCGCAGTGCGAGGATCTGTCGGATGAGGACAATTGCCGTGAGTTAGCTTTCAGTAATTTGTCGGTCTTAAAGGGACTCCACTGAGGTTAAAAAGCCTAAAAACATACCATTTTAATTTATTACATAAATGAGGCTAGGGCACTTTAAACAAAAATATATGCAAAGATAGTTAAGAATTATACTTTGAAATAAATTAAAAATGGTATGTTTATACTTTTCATAGCACGATTTGAGTGAAAAGCGTTTAAACGCTTTTCATTTTGTGTCACTTTTTTACAATTTGAATAATTATTCTGGAAAGACAAAGTGCGCGAATGATCTGAAATTTTGCACAAAGATTGGTGGTCTAAACCTTCATCAAATAGTACATTTATCTTAAAAAACATATTTTCAGTCCCATCATGTCAAGAAACCTCAGTGGAGTCCCTTAAATTCTTTAAATGAAAAGACAAGCATATTTTAGATTAATTTTAATACTGGTATGATAAATTTGGTAATAATGAAATGTTTTGAAGATATGTTGTGTTCCCAAGAAACCTGTGATTTTATTAAAATACACGTCTTTAGGAAACATGAAATTTTATTTGCCAATGTATTTTTGCTTGGAACCATAAAGTTAATTGTTATACTATGTATGTTTTCCTTTGAAATATGATGTTTAAATGAAATATCATGTTTATTTTCAGCATGTCATGAAGGAATGTTCCAGTGCCGGAATGGTAACTGTGTTGATGGAAGAATGCGCTGTGATGGAGTACCACAATGTGAAGATTCATTTGATGAATTTGGTTGTCGTAAGTGATATTCTTTTTAGTTATAACCTATTTTATTTTAATACCATATAATTATATAAGATTTATGAGAATTTATACTAATTTTGGACACCAGTTTACATTTTTCCAAAACTTACTTTTCTACTTTTCTAGAAATTTACCTGGTTTGCAGAACTTTAGGTTAATTAGTATCTTTCATAGAAGCTACACATTTTAGTCCACTATATACTATGCCAATACTAGTACTAGTATTTGTCTAAAAAATAACCTATAAAATAGTAGTATTAGTTGAATGCAAAACTTCACTGTTCTAGCTATTTTAATCTCCATGTGATGCTTATTTTGATATGTCTTACAAAAGCAGCTATGTCATACAGGTTGATATCAGTAATTTTTATTTTATAAAACTTTTTTACGTTAAAATCCGATGTACTGGTATATTTTGTAGCATTAGTATTAAATTTTGTTGTATTTTAGCTACTGAACCACCAAGTTGTCCAACTAGTGACTTCCAGTGTCAAACAGGCGGAATTTTAGAATGTATTGATCAAAGACTACGTTGCGATGGTTATGAAGATTGTTCTGACGGCTCGGATGAAAACGGCTGTCGTAAGTTACACGCTTTTTTACTTTAAATTTGTTAAATTACGGCTTTTAACAGTTTGCAAAATTCTAAATGGGAATTAAATTTTGATATTGGTAGAGTATATATTTATTAAAAAGCAGGAAAACAGAGATTACTTTTTAGCTCACCTGTCACAAAGTGACAGGGTGAGCTTTTGTGATCGCTTTTCGTCCGGCGTCCGTCCGTCCGTCCGTCCGTCGTCCGTCCGTAAACTTTTACTTTAAATGACATCTCCTCATAAACCACTAAGCCAATTTCATCCAAACTTCACAGGAATGTTCCTTTGGTGGTCACCTTTAAAAATTGTTCAAAGAATTTAATTCCATGCAGAACTCTGGTTGCCATGGCAACCGAAAGAAAAAACTTTAAATATATTCTTTTAAAAAACCATAAAAGCTAGAGCTTAGATATTTGGCATGAAACATCTTCTAGTGAGTGTCTACCAAGTTTGTTCAAATAAAAGCCCTGGGGTCAAAATTGGCCCCGCCCCGGGGGGTCATTGATTTTCCCTATATGCATATAGTAAAAACTTAAAAAAATCTTCTTTTAAAGAACCCAAAGAGCGAGAGCTAAGATATTTAGCATGAAACATGTTCTAATGGGTGTCTACCAAGTTTGTTCAAATAAAAGCCCTGGGGTCAAAATTGGCCACACCCCGGGGGGTCATTGATTTTCCCTATATGCATATAGTAAAAACTTAAAAAATCTTCTTTTAAAGAACCAAAAAAGTTAGAGCTAAGATATTTAGCATGAAACATGTTCTTATAAGTGTCTACCATGTTTGTTCAAATAAAAGCCCTGGGGTCAAAATTGGCCCCGCCCCGAGGGGTCATTGATTTTCCCTATATGCATATAGTAAAAACTTAAGAAATCTTCTTTTAAAGAATTCAAAGAGCTATGGCTAAGATATTTAGCATCAAACATGTTCTAATAGGTGTCTACCAAGTTTGTTCAAATAAAAGCCCTTGGGTCAAAATTGACCCCGCCCCGGGGGGTCATTGATTTTCCCTATATGCATATAGTAAAAACTTAAAAAAATCTTCTTTTAAAGAACTCAAAGAGCTATGGCTAAGATATTTAGCATCAAACATGTTCTAATAGGTGTCTACCAAGTTTGTTCAAATAAAAGCCCTGGGGTCAAAATTGGCACCGCCCCGGGGGTCATTGATTTTCCTTATATGTGTATAGCAAAAACTTAAAAAATCTACTTTGAAAAAACCCAAATAGCTAGAGTTTAGATATTAAGTATGAAACATCTTTTAGTGAATGTCTACACAAAGTTTGTTCAAATAAAAGACCTGGGGTCAAAATTGGCCCCGCCCCGGGGGTCATTGATTTTCTTTATATGTGTATAGACAAAAACTTAAAATCTTCTTTGAAAAAAACCCAAATAGCTAGAGTTTATTAATTAAGCATGAAACATCTTCTAGTAAGTGTCTACAAAGTTTGTTCAAATAAAAGCCCTAGGGTCATAACTGGCCCGGCCCCAGGGGTGTCATTGTTTTTAACTATATGTGTATAGTAAAAACTTTAAAAAAATCTTCTTTTAAAAAGCCCAATGAGCTAGAGCTTAGATGTTTAGCATGAAACATCTTCTTATGGGTGTCTACCAAGTTTTGTGCGAATAAAAGCCCTTGGATTAAATTGGTCCCTGCAACGTTTGGGGGGGGGGGGGGTGGGTGGGGTTGGGGGACCTATATACAGGTGAGCGACCTCAGGGTCATCATGGCCCTCTTGTTTTAAGTTCATAACTAAAATATTATGGTACAATTGACGTAGATTGTGAAAATGTTGTTAAAACTGCTCACCTCCCCCTCCCGATGAACAAAGACAGTTTTAAACAAAATCAAACTTTTGAAAAAAAAACATTTGTAAAATTAAGCGATAATTAAACATTTACAATCAATTTTTTTATCACCATATTTCTAACCCCTATTACTATGAGCATCTTATCAGATTTAATGTTATTTATGGGGAGCATAATACAAGTATATTCTTTTTGCTTTCTCGATTTACTGTGATTCTTGCTATGGAAATTTATACTACTAATTTTATTATTTTAATCACATAAGACATAAATTTATCAGGGGACATGCTGTTTTAATCAATTTGAGTAAATGATGAAGAAAAATAAACGTAACCAAAATTATAAAAAAAAATATTAAATTTTAGCTGGTTGCACACGTAATGAATTCACATGCCAAAGTGATGGCAGATGTCTTCCTATTGAATCTAGATGTAATTCTATCATAGAATGTGCAGATAGATCTGATGAACTTGGTTGTGGTAAGTTAAAATATGCATGTATATAAGTATTAGCTGTCCCCCTTCAAAGCTTTATACTATCTCCCTTTTTAATGTGACTGTTTGATGATTACAGAGTGCTATTGTACTTGCCCAGGTGTCGGCATCACACTTTGGTTAAAATTTATGTGCAAGTTGGTATCTACAAAACTTCTGAAGGGAATGGGTTGAAACGTCACACACTTATTAGGAGGTAGCTTGCCAAGGCAGATAACTCTAACATGGAATTGTGAAATATTTATGACCCTTTTTGAACTTAAAAAGACCACATTATACAAGCTCTTGTTTGTCTTTGAGTTACTTGTGTTGAAAGCATTCTAATTGTTTGTCGTCATAAAATATCATTTGCATGTTCATAAAAATGCAACATTTGAGATAATCTTTGGCGGGATTAGTTGTCTGTCACTTGCAGAGATATTGGCAATTATTGGTTAGTTATCCAGACAAGCTGGTGAGGTAGACCGATCGCCAAGATATGACAAAAAATGTATTAAAATTGGCATAATGGGGACATACAAACTCTTTTGTCTGTTTTTGTAACTTGTAACCAAAGTCAGTGATTCAAACCAGATGCTGGCTAATGTGCCTGTTATAAAGTAAAATGTAGCATGATAATGAACGGTCCCAAAGATGGAAAATGGAAAAATCTTTTTTTTAAAAAAGCAGGAATTGGTTGCAGTTAAAGTTAAGTACAAAATAATAAAAAAAATTGTAAATTTTCAGTATGTACAGCTGAACAATTCAAGTGTGGCGATGGTATTTGTATAGATTTAAGCCGACGCTGTGACCGCAGGATGGACTGCGAGGATCGCTCAGATGAAATAGCTTGTCGTAAGTTTTTGCTTAAATCATTTTGTCTTATGAAAACAGTTTCAAGCTCTCTGTATAAAAATGGAATCAATTTATAATTTATTTCAAGCCTTTGAAATGTAATGTTGAGATTACAAACACATTTTACTTGAAGACAATGTCCATTATATGAATATTCAGTCAGTAAGTCACAGTTTCTTTAGACCTTGAAATTATAAGTATCACATGTTAAAATTTAAAAGGTAATTTTAAATGAAATGGATTTTAATATGCCCCCTGGGCATAGTAATTATATAGTAATTGAACCATCCATCTGTCCAACAAAAGTAACCTAAAAAGGCAAGTTGGTTGTTTCTTAAGTTCTATTTGTGCCAATAGATTCATAATTTACACACATACTAATCAATACAAATTTAATGATTTTGGCAAGTTATATAACAAAATATATAGATTAGAGAGCTAGGGTCCATGTCAAGATTTCAGAGCAGTAAAATATTCTTTTATTTATGTTAATTTCATTTCTTAAGGTATCAACTTCAAACTCCAAATATATGTTTCTTATCATCAACCACATACTTATGTGACAAGGAATAACTCTGGAATAATGTTTCAGAATTTTACCACCCCCCCCCCCCACCCCCATTGAACTTAGCATTTTCCTTAAAAATGTTGCTCTTAATATCTTTTTCTTAAGGGATTAACTTTCCAGAAAAAAACAACTTCAACATGTATGTCCCAATCATTCAACCACATCTAATGGGACAAGGTTTTTTTACTCTAGCATCTATATTGTAAGAATAGATCTCCCAAGAACTAACAATTTCCCTAAAAAAATGTTATTTTTTTTCTGTAATATACTTAAGATATCTTCTTCAAAACTTCAATATAAATTATGTTATGATAATTACCCACATAAAACATATTTATGCAAAAATAATGTATGCAAGGTTCATTAACTCTAGCACACATTTTAAGTCAGACTAATATTCATTCTTAAACTTGGAAATTATTTAAAATGTTATTTTCAGCTCAGAAATATTCGCAGAATAATCGAGCTAAACAAATCACCCCTTTTCGGCCCCCTTTGGGTCCTGTTTTTTTAAAATTTTTTTCGTGTAAACTGGGACTCCATAACTACTGGGAAAAAATGGATTTTAAAATTCACACCCCTTGTTTTTCCCGTGATTATCTTAAAATATTTGGGAAAAAAAAATCCCCTAACTCTGATTTCCCTTTTTTTCATAATTTTTGCCCCTTTTTTAACTTAGAAAATTTTCCTTTAAATTTTTCGGTAAGCGGGATTTTCCAAAAATAAATAAAGGGAATGGATTTAAACTTTACACACTTTTTTCTGTGATTATCTTTGATGAAATTTGGGACAAATCCCATAAATCTGATTTTCTTTTTTACCCTAATTAGGCCCCCTTTTTTGACTAAAAAAATTTTTGGTTTTAAATTTTTCGGGGTAAGCTGGTATCTCCATAACTACTGAAGGGAATGGATTGAAACTTCACACACTTTTTTTGCTGTGATTATCTAAGATGAATGGCAGAACCCCTATAACTCTGATTTGCTTTTTTGCATAAGTATGCCCCTTTTTTGACTTAGAAATTCTTGGTTAAGTTTGTGCGTGTACATTGAAACTTCACACTCTTGTTGTCTGTGATTATCTAAGATGATTGGCACAAGTTCCATAACTCTGATTTACTTTTTTGCATAATTATGCCCCTTTTCGTCTTAGAAATTCTAGGTAAATTTTTGCTTGTAAGCTGGTATCTCCATAACTACTGAAGGGTTTGTACCTTTTCGGACAATTTTATGTATTCATATAGGTAAGCATTATTATACTCAATGAAACACCTTTGTGACAACTTTTCGAATAGTCGATCGTTACTGTCCTCCGACAGTTCTTGTTTACTATAACTTTTTCGTTTCTTATATACATATGTATGTACATGTACTTCAAACTTCAAATATTTGTTACTTATTATCGCTAACATCAAATTGTGTAACCAGATTCATAACTCTAGCATTAATATTTCAAAAATTATCCCCTCCCCCCTTTGAACTTGGAATTTTTAACTGGGTTGCACAGGTGCAAACCTGGGTTATAATATGGTGACTGTCGGGCGGCAGGCGGGCGGGGAAAATCTGTTCATAACAGTTTTCTCAGCAGTCAGCAACTATTTATCACAGCCTATGATATTTGGCATACATCATTGCCACATGGTCACATACTGTGGGATTCGATTTCAGGTCTGTCTCTCATCATTTGAGTGGTGCTTTCTTGAAACTTATACATAAATACATTCATATCATAATTGATTTTTTGTCATAATAAGTTTTGTCTTTATTGAATTACTGCATCCAGTATTTAATTAGTCGAGCTTTGATGTCTCCTCTGACAGCTTTTGTTCTTATACAGCCTTTGTATTTTTTTACCAATGTCACATATTTAGAAAAAGAATACATCAGGTACTGGTCCTTTAAGTTTGAGTGGACTTTGGGGCCACTGGGTTCAAGGTCATGCATAGATAATTGATAGGTTTTCATTTGTAAGTTGAAATTTTTCAACTACATCAGATTCAGATAGCAATGACATGCCTACTTATATTTTTCACTGAATCACACTACTCTATAAAGTTATACAACTGTGTTTGCAAAATACATTATCTGTCCATAATTGAGTGAATGGCTAAACATTTTTTTGAAAAAATGTTACTATATTACTGACAAATATCTGCAGGGGGTGGGGGCATTTGTGTTTATCACAAATGTTCTTGTTTTATTAAAGAACAATTGTCAATACCATGACCTCATGGTCAATATTGACTAATGTGTTCATTTGATTTTACATTGAAGTTTATGTTTAATTATCTTTTATCTAAAAAGGGTTAGAATTATATTTCTTTATTTGTTTATTTTTCATTGACTACATCAGAGACATAGATAACATAGTTATCTATGTCTCTGACTACATCTTTAGCCTATAAAATTTTGATGTTCAATAAATCCTTTGGCTTAATAATTCTACAGCTTACATAATAACAGGAGGCCTTCTCTAACAGATATGGTAGTCCCTCCCACTGTTTTTAAGCATAATGAATATCACCCTTAATTGGCACCCCTACTGTTTTGTAATATATCACACTCCCCAATACAGCTCCCAATATACAGCTCGTTAACTTCCAATAAGTGCCAGTCCCTTCTGTGTGTATATAGTTGGGATCCATATCCCACTGTTTTATGAGGGGCTGGGATACATGATTTGTTAACTATTTAAGGGTAAAGAATTTATGTTTTTACAATTTAACAATCCTGTTTTGACAGTTTTTGATTTTGTGTTTGTTTCTTCTAGTGTTTTTTTAGCTCACCTGTCACAAAGTGACAGGGTGAGCTTTTGTGATCGCTTTTCGTCCGGCGTCCGTCCGTCGTCCGTCCGTCCGTCGTCCGTCCGTAAACTTTTACTTTAAATGACATCTCCTCATAAACCACTAAGCCAATTTCATCCAAACTTCACAGGAATGTTCCTTTGGTGGTCACCTTGAAAAAATTGTTCAAAGAATTTAATTCCATGCAGAACTCTGGTTGCCATGGCAACCAAAAGAAAAAACTTTAAATATCTTCTTTTAAAAAACCCAAAGAGCTAGAGCTTAGATATTTGGCATAAAATATCTTCTAGTGAGTGTCTACCAAGTTTGTTCAAATAAAAGCCCTGGGGTCAAAATTGGCCCCGCCCCAGGGGGTCATTGATTTTCCCTATATGCATATAGTAAAAACTTTAAAAAAAATCTTCTTTTAAAGAACCCATAGAGCTAGAGCTAAGATATTTAGCATGAAACATGTTCTAATGGGCGTCTACCAAGTTTGTTCAAATAAAAGCCCTGGGGTAAAATTGGCCCCGCCCCAGGGGGTCATTGATTTTCCTTATATGTGTATAGCAAAAACTTAAAAAATCTTCTTTGAAAAAACCCATATAGCTAGAGTTTAGATATTAAGCATGAAACATCTTCTAGTGAGTGTCTACCAAGTTTGTTCAAATAAAAGCCCTAGGGTCAAAATTGGCCCCGCCCCAGGGGGTCATTGATTTTCCCTATATGCATATAGTAGAAACTTAAAAAATCTTCTTTTAAAGAACACAAAGAGCTAGAGCTAAGATATTTGGCATGAAACATGTTCTAATGGTTGTCTACAAAGTTTGTTCAAATAAAAGCTCTGGGGTCAAAATTGGCCCCGCCCCGGGGGTCATTGATTTTCCTTATATGTGTGTAGCAAAAACTTAAAAAATCTTCTTTGAAAAAACCCAAATAGCTAGAGTTTAGATATTAAGCATGAAACATCTTCTAGTGAGTGTCTACCAAGTTTGTTCAAATAAAAGCCCTGGGGTCAAAATTGGCCCCGCCCCAGGGGGTCATTGTTTTTCCCTATATGCATATAGTAAAAACTTAAAAAAATCTTCTTTTAAAGAACCCAAAGAGCTAGAGCAAAGATATTTAGCATTAAACATGTTCTAATGGGTGTCTACAAAGTTTGTTCAAATAAAAGCCCTGGGGTCAAAATTGGCCCCGCCCCGGGGGTCATTGATTTTCCTTATATGTGTATGGCAAAAACTTAAAAAATCTTCTTAGAAAAAACCCAAATAGCTAGAGTTTAGATATTAAGAATGAAACATCTTCTAGTAAGTGTCTACAAAGTTTGTTCAAATAAAAGCCCTTGTTTTTAACTATATGTGTATAGTAAAAACTTAAAAAATCTTCTATCAAAAAATCCAATGAGCTAGAGGTTAGATTTTAAGCAGGAAACATCTTTTTGTTGGTGTCTACCAAGTTTGTCCAAATAAAAGCCCTTGGGTTTAAATTGGCCCTGCCAAAGGGGGGGGGGGGGCGGAGGTCATTGTTTTTCATTATATGTGTGTAGTAAAAACTTAACATCATGAAACATCTTCTAATAGGTGTCTTCCAAGTTTGCTCAAATAAAAGCCCTGGGGTTTAAACTGGCCCCGCTCCGGAGAGCCTATATACAGGTGAGCGACCTCAGGGCCATCATGGCCCTCTTGTTTTAAATAGCATTTATTTGTTGTGTGAAATATTCATATACTGTTCCAAAGCTTATACTACTTCTCTTTCATGCATCATTCGAACAAGATAAGTTTAATATAACTGTAAAAAGAATCATTATGTAACAACCCTACCCTTAGTTTGAAAACGCAGAATAACAAAAAGGATTATATTTGTCAGAAATTTATGTAAGCTTAAATATTATCTTAATAAACTTATAGGTCCACTTGATGTCAAAAAATAACATATATATTTTATTTCAAAGTAAATTATTTTGTTTTCAGCGCAAAAAATATAGATTTTTTTTTCAAAATCAAGAAATGTGGTGTGCACAAATAATAATTTCTATATAAATACATCATTTCACTCCATTTGTTCTGTTATTTCTTCATTTTTCATTGTAACTTTGGTGTTATAGAGTAAAATTCCCTTTTCAGTTACAGTTTATGTGGGATTTAATAAGCACCTTATATAGGGGGACGGATGTTACAATGACGGATGCTTAGTAACAATCAACTTTTACATTATTGTAGTTTTTTCTCATATACAGTGATATTGGCAATTTTTGTAACATTTTCATTGTAAGACTATCAATAAGCACCAGAAAAACTGTTTTTATGAGTAGTGTTTTATAATTGGATATTTTACGAGAGGGGGACGGACATAAAGGCTTTTTTACCACTATAATGCCTTAAACTATGGTAAAAATGTTTAAAAATTTGAATTGAAGACACTTTACATAATATCATGTTTTAATTCATATTTCATTTAAGATTAAGACAATAAAATACTATTTTATTTGTAATTTCTTAAATGTATGTACTTGTTTAATTAAAAACTGAATTTTGAAAATTCTGATGCATTACAAAAGACTGATTTTACTAAAATCATCTTATGCAATAACAATAAAAACAAGGATGATATATACCAAGTATTTAATCACTGGAAAAGTTATTAAATTTCTATGTGCATGTAAAAAGATTTAAGTGATAGGATAAAACAGATAAAAGTGGTGTTAATTCTAGAAACACCAAACGCTGAAGTGTCAACAGATGCTACCAGTCATTACATGTAAAATTGGGCATGTTTAGGTTATAAAAATGTCTGTATCTATATTTTGGTAATGCTATGATAAAAAAAAAATTGGCACATTTGCTTTATAGTAAGTCCTTTGTAAAAACACAAAAAAACATAATTGCAAAATTATTAATGCAATATATTTTTTGAAAAAGCCTGCATTACATGTATTTTATAGCAATTGGCCCATTTACTGTGCAGCAGGCAATATGATCATTGCTGATAATTGTTAATTTGATCATTAAGATCTTAAGAGATTGCACCAATAATTACCATTTAAATAAACATTGTCTTTTTTTATTCAGACCAACTCCTTTTCGAAGTGTACAACATGTTTAAATTATTATTGGAACGGATGCAGGGAAAAAAGCTGAAAGAAGAACTGTATAATACATAACAAATGTTAGTATGTTTTACTTTTCAAATACATGTATGTCAAGTAACAAATGATTCATGATACAGATTATTCTGTTAAATTTTGTAATCACAAACAAAAACTTTTTATCAATTCCCAATTTAAAAAGTAGAGACATTCTTCAAAATTATAGTTGATACATATTAAAAACTGACATGATATTGTAATTAGACTGCTTTATGTTGAGAGTTAATAATAAACAAACTAATTATCACATGTCGGACCATCATGGTAATTTAGACATAGGAGTTTGTTGGACAAAGTGTTTAAGGTATTTGCCTCCCAACTTAGGGATCATGGGTTTTAGCCAAAATCAGGTCAGTCCCATACTGGGTACTGACTGGCAGGGAATATAGCTATCTTTCAGACTGCCTTTTTATACTGGGTACTGACTGGCAGGGAATATAGCTATCTTTCAGACTGCCTTTTTATACTGGGTACTGACTGGCAGGGAATATAGCTATCTTTCAGACTGCCTTTTTATACTGGGTACTCAGTGGCGGGGAATATAGCAATCTTTCAGACTGCCTTTTTATACTGGGTACTGACTGGCAGGGAATATAGCTATTATCTTTCAGACTGCCTTTTTATACTGGGTACTGTTGCGGGGAATATAGCTATCTTTCAGACTGCCTTTTTATACTGGGTACTGTTGCGGGGAATATAGCTAATCTTTCAGACTGCCTTTTTATACTGGGTACTGACTGGCAGGGAATATAGCTATTATCTTTCAGACTGCCTTTTTATACTGGGTACTGACTGGCAGGGAATATAGCTATTATCTTTCAGACTGCCTTTTTATACTGGGTACTGTTGCGGGGAATATAGCTAATCTTTCAGACTGCCTTTTTATACTGGGTACTGACTGGCAGGGAATATAGCTATTATCTTTCAGACTGCCTTTTTATACTGGGTACTGACTGGCAGGGAATAAAGATATTATCTTTCAGACTACCTTTTTATATTGGGTACTGACTGGCAGGGAATATAGCTATCTTTCAGACTGCCTTTTTATACTGGGTACTGACTGGCAGGGAATATAGCTATCTTTCAGACTGCCTTTTTATACTGGGTACTGTTGCGGGGAATATAGCTAATCTTTCAGACTGCCTTTTTATACTGGGTACTGTGGCGGGGAATATCAGACTGCCTTTTTATACTGGGTACTGTGGCAGGGAATATAGCTATCTTTCAGACTACCTTTTTGATATAATGTACTGACCAGAAAACAAACTTTCTGACTATTCAAATAAATGGTTATGTTTCTTGACAATTTACTTAAAATGTATAGTTTCAACTAAATTGAAGTCAGCAGTTACAAACAAATACTATTCTGTTTAAATTTCATTTTACTAATGATTTACTTTTCATTTAAGTTTTATTCATACGTGTGTAGTAACTGAAACTGTATAAGTTTATTTTCCTTAAGTAAGAAAACAATATAACTTTTATTTAATGTTTTATTTAGTAATGAAATATTGATTTCCTATTAGGTTCAAATGAGGTACTGAGGGAAAGTGATGAAGTAGAAAGAATCCAGATGCATATAATGACATTGATTATTGATGGAAAGGATCAGTGTAAGTACTTTGGCCATACATTTTTAGCTTACCTGAGCACTTTTGTGCTCAAAGATAGACTTATATAGGAAAATACACAAATTTATACACAAATGTCCAGAGTTTAGATAGTTTGGCATGTAGAATTGCCTTGTGGATCCTCCACTAAAGTTATGTAATTGATGAATCTTGGATAAAAATGGCCATCTGGGGTCACTTTTACACAGGGTTATATATATATATATATGCATTACAGTGCATTTTATTCTGGCTTAATTATCTCCCTTTAAACAGATGAAATAAAGTTTTGCATTCATACCAACTAAGAAAACTAATAAGATTTTAAATTTTTATCAATAAATTTATGATGACTAAATATATTATGAAAATACTTATATAAATAAAAAAAGTGAATGTCTAAATCTGCTTGAGGGTCAGCAAAAACACTAAAAAACGTCTTGATTATACTATAGAGGTTTTAGCTTAGATATTGGCTATGTAGAAGTCTACAAATATTGTTCAAATTTCAGCCATTTGATTAAAATTGGCCCCGCCTCAGGGGATCATTGATTTTCCTTTATATAGTAAAAACAAACAAAAAATCTTCTGCTATTATATTATAGAGGTTTTATCTTACATGTAGATATTTGGTATGAAACATTGTCAAGTGGACCTATACACACAAAATCAAATGATGGCCCTCGGGTCAAAATTGGTCCCGCCCCAGCGAACATAGATTTTCCTTATATGTATATAGTAAAAAACTATTCTCTAAATCTACATGAACTAAAGCTATAGCAATGAGTGAATCTACCATTGAAATTAATAGCAGGCATTGACTTCCAAAAACCGTTGATATTTAATAAATAGTTATTGATATTTCCCTGTCTGTATTGTAAAGATGTGTAAAGATACAAAATTAGGGTTCTGAACCACTCTTATTTTGATGTTCAAAATACTCTTTAAAAAAGTTTTACTCTGAGGTTCAAAATACTCTTATCAAAGTTTTTATCCTGAGTGAGGTAAAGAAGTTTTTATCCTGAATAACAGATACTCTTTTTGTAATGCGAAAGCTGTTGATTATTATTCAAACATTTTAACAGACATTTTGTATTGCTTAATCATCACACAAGGCACACTATTTTACTAATTTATTTGTCTTTGTTTCAATTATAGGTCATGATTGACAAGAGAAGAGGTAGCCATTTTACAGATTTGTTTTGACTCCAATCTCTGATGATGTTTAAAGACATATTTGGATTTGATAGATATTTTTAAAAATTGTATTGTGTTTCTATTATTGTTTATTTTTATGAATTTTGTATGGCTCATGTGTAATCAATTAAATTTCTGTATCCTTTGGCAACATTTAAGTTGCTTAAACTTGCTTTGATAATTTACATTTAAATACTTAATAAATGTTCAATAATCAATTTTGTTGGTTATTGTAGAGCCTAACAAATTAGTGATCTGACAGTTTGAAATTTTCAAATCATTTTTGTTTAATTACAAAATATGAGACAAATGATATTATATTTCATTTCATAAATTTCTGATCAAGCTTAACAAATTTAATTCAAATGATTCAAATTGTGCATTTCTGATTGAAATTGGTAGCTGTTTGACTTTGATATACTTTTTAGCTCACCTGTCTCAAAGTGACATGGTGAGCTTTTTTGATCGCATTTCATCCGGCGTCCTTCCTTAAACTTTTACTTTAAATGACATCTCCTCATTAACCTCTTAGCCAGTTTCACCTTAACTTCACAGGAATGTTCCTTTTGTAGTCAACTTCAAAAATTGTTAGAAGAATTTAATTCCATGAAGAACTCTGGTTGCCATGGCAACCGAAAGAAAAAAATTAAAAAATCTTTAAATATCTTCCTTTAAAAAATCCAAATAGCTAGAGCTTAGATATTAATCACTAACATCATCTAGTTAGTGACTACCAAGTTTGTTCAAATAAAAGCCCTGGTGTCAAATTTGGCCCCGCGCCAGAGGATCATTGTTTTCCATTTATGTATAAAGTAAATACTTCAAAAGTCTTCTTTTGAATTACCCAAAGAGCTAGAGCTAAAATATTTAGCATGAAACATCTTCTAATGGGTGTCTACCAAGGTTGTTCAAATACGGGCCCTGGGGTTAAAATTGGCCCCGCCCCAAGGATCATCGATTTTCCTTGTATGTGTATAGTAAAAACTTAATAAATCTTATTTTAAAAAAACCCAAAGAGCTACAGTTTAGATAATTAATATGAAATATCTTCTAATGAGTGTCTACCAAGCTTGTTCAAATAAAAGCCCTAGGGTCAAATTGGCCCTGTCTGGAGGGGGAGGTGTCATACTCCTATATGTGTATAGTGAAAACTTAAAAAATCTTCTTTTAAAGACCCTAAAGAGCTAGAGCTTAGATATTTATCATGAAACATCTTCCAATGGGTGTCTACCAAGTTTGTTCACATAAAAGCCCTTGGGTTAAAATTGGCCCTAACCCAGGGACCTATATACAGGTGAGGGATTTCAGGGCCATCATGGCCCTCTTGTTATAACTCTTTAACTTAACTTTAACTTGTTTGTGTTATTTTTTTATCAGATTTTGCTAAGCCGGTGTCGCGTAATAATCACACGGGCGTAATTTTACCACGGTTTACACATGTTTTTTTAAAACTTTCCTGTAACTTTATTTACAAACAAAGCGCTGTGAAAATTGGTATAAATCTTCAGCATAGAACAATTATATCGGTGCATGTATTTGAATATTCTGACAGTATTTATATTCTCCAGAATATATGCGTGAAATTGAGCTAAAACGCCAAATTTTGCATCTTTCGTGGGCATTTTGAAAAAACCTGCAAGGTTCAAAAGTATTAAATTCATGAAAATAAATGCTTTTAAAACTTGTCAGGGTGTTAAACTTTGTTTCTTGTCCATTGTTTTATTTCTAAATTGGCTAGAACTAATCTTAAGCTGTAGTTGAAAATGGCCAATTTCTCCGAAAACTAGGTCAAATTACCCGAAAATTTTGCCCGAAAGGGTGCTATAAATTTAAAACTTGTCATTCATTACCGTACACATTTATTCTTAAAAATAAAGGTCTAATAACTTGTCATATATTTTAATATTCACAATTCAATGATTGTTTTTAATCAACAAACGCCATAAATATAAATAACACGATTTAAAGCGGCTTGTATCCTTCGGCCGTTTTTCAAAATGGCAGACAAATTCTGTTAAAATGTGATCTATATACTTTTTTTTAACTGATTAAGTACGTATGCGTCATTATATTGCATTGACTTTGATATCAAAATGTTACAAAACGTTTTCCCAACTCAACAAATCATTTAGACAAAAATGACAATTCAAATTAACAATGGTTGACAATTCAAATCAACAATGGAACTCCACAGCTTTACTGCATTTAAGTCAGCTGCCATTTTGCCAATTGAGGATCACTTAACTATGGTGTCTGATTTGTGCCATTTCGTTATTTTGTTTGGTTGTGGTTGTTAGAAGCAAAACCTTGAAGAGAGAGAGAGAGAGAGAGAATGAGAAACATATATAACAATTTATTTCGTCACACACCTTTTTACCTTTTTCAGTATTTTGTGAATATAGGCCCTTCAACTGCAACAACACAAAAAAGATAAAATGATGAGAGGGGACACATAACTTTTTTTCTGTAAAATTAATGTTGAAATGTTATACTTATAAGATGTGAGAAATTGTTAAGACGGCATAACATTTCTTCATCTGATCAAATTGAATTTTAATTTTGTAAAGTCGGCAAAACAATTTAACTGTTGGATAATTGTTGAACAGTAATAATTCTGATAAGATTTGAGAAATTGTTAAGCCGGCATAACATTTTTTTCTTGAACATTATATTTTTCAGTTTGAAATTTTCTTTGAATATTACTTGGATATGAGTTGTTAAGCCCCGCATAGCATTTTTCTACATGTAAAAAAATTAATTTAAATTTTGTTAAGCCAGCATAACAATTTCTCTGTTAGATTTATGTTGAACTATAATACTTTTAAGATGTAAGAAGTATGTAAAAAAAAATTAAGCCGGCATTATAATTATTTTTATTTCAATTTTGTTAAGCTGGCATAACATATTTTATAATTTGAAATCTTGTGCTATAATTGTATGTAAATTGAGAAATTGTTAAGCCAGCATAACATTTTTCTTCATCTTATGAAAACGAATTACAATTGGCATAACATATTTTATAATTTAAAATCTTGTGCTATAATTGTATGTAAATTGAGAAATTGTTAAGCCAGAGTAACATTTTTCTTCATCTTATAATATAAAAATGAATTTCAAGTTTGTTAAGCTGGCATAACAGTTTAACTGATAGTTTGAAATTTTGTGTTAAATTCTTCTTAGATTTTAAGAATTGTTAAGCTGGCGTAACATTTTTCTTCACGTAATGTAAGTGAATTTCGAATTTGTTAACATTTTTTCTTATCTTATGAAAATGAACTTTAATTTTGTTAAGCTATCATAGCAATTTCATAGCAAATTGTTTAGCCACTCACGGTGTAACATTTTTCTTCATGTAATGCAAGTGAATTAAAAAATTTGTTAAGCCGGCGTAACAATTTATTTGATAGTTTGAAATTTTCTTTGTCAAATACTTGGAAATGAGAACATTTCTCCTCACGTTATGTAAGTGAATCTCAAATTTGTTAAGCCGGCATAACAATTGATCTGATAGTTTAAAATTTTCTTAGTCAAATAGTTGGATATGAGAAATTGTTAAGCCGGCATAACATTTTCAATCATGTAATGTAAGTGAATTTTAATTTTGTTAAGCTGGCATAACAATGTATTTGAGAGTTTGAAATTTTCTTTGTCAAATACTTTAGATATGAGAATTTGATAAGCCGGCGTAACATTTCTCTTCACGTAATGTAAGTGAATTTCAAATTTTTTAAGCCGGCATAACAATTGATCTGATAGTTTGAAATTTTCTTTGTCAAATACTTAGATATGAGAAATTGTTAAGCCGGCATAACATTTTCCATCATGTAATGTAAGTGAATTTTAATTTTGTTAAGCTAGCATAACAATGTATTTGATAGTTTAAAATTTTCTTTGTCAAATACTTGGATATGAGAAAATGTTAAGCCGGCATAACATTTTCTTCACGTAAAGTAGGTGAATTTCAAATTTGTTAAGCCGGCAAAACAATTGATCTGATAGTTTGAAATTTTCTTTGTCAAATACTTAGATATGAGAAATTGTTAAGCCGGCATAACATTTTCCATCATGTAATGTAAGTGAATTTTAATTTTGTTAGCTGGCATAACAATGTATTTGATAGTTTGAAATTTTCTTTGTCAAATACTTGTATATGAGAAATTGTTTAGCCGGCATTACATTTTTCTTCATGTAATGAAAATGAATTTTTAATTTTGTTAAGCTGGCATAACAATTTATTTGATAGTTTGAAATTTTCTTAGTCAAATAGTTGGATATGAGAAATTGTTAAGCCGGCATAACATTTTCAATCATGTAATGAAAATGAATTTTTATTTTGTTAAGCCGGCATAACAATTGATCTGATACGTTTAATCTAATGAAATGAATTTCAATTTTGTAAAAGCATGGGAATGTGTTAAAATTTGATAAAATTAAGTGTGTCTATTGTATAAAACATTGTTAAGCCGGCATAACATTTTTTGTTTTTCAATGTAAATTGAGTTATTGATTCTTTACTGTTTTCACAAATTTGGTGGTATATAGCCTTTTTATTTATTTGTTAAGCCAGCTTAACATTTCTTCATACTAAGATTGCTTATGTCACGCTAAAATCGTGTTTGATTTTTGTTAAGCTGGCTTAACACAGCGTTATATCAATAAAATCACTTTTAAATAAAAGATTCAAATACATTCATATAGATTTTTTGCTTGTCTTTGTTGTTTTCTTTCTCAAAAATGGAAAAAGGGCATCCTTTTTGTAGTGTTATTTGGCCATAATTGGTACGTGAATTGGGAACGAGTGTTCATTCCCTTTTTAAAATAGACATGGTTCTTGTTTCTGCCAGGTACTTTAAATACACATCACTTTTCACTGTCTTGTATGGACACAATACTTTAGCTGTATCAGGCATTCTATCACCATGATTGGTAGAATAATCGTTTAGCCAGTTCAATGTTTGCAGTGTTTTATCTGATATGTCCTATTTTTTCAAGAATTGTTGCAACATTTTTTTAATAATTTAAGGGTATGTGAAAATGTGTTCTTATTATTAAACTGTTCACAAAAACACTTTAGAACATAAAACATTTTTTCAACACTTGTAAATTTATCTAACTTTACCATACCCTGTTATCAATGGAATATATAGCATTTTATAAGCTGCATTCTGAATGCCTTTGAATTATCCAAAATAAAGTTCCCCACTCTTAAAATTCATGTTTTTCAAACAACCCAGACCACAAACATATCTTTCAGTGTACTTTTAATGGTGGCTTTGGACTTCATTTACTTCAGCTGAAACAAAAGGTATCTATAACATAATTAAACTATTAAACTGAAACAAAATTAAATATTTCTATGGTCATGTAGAAAAATAATCATCCTAATTACTTATGAAGCTTTATATCAAAAGGCTCTGACACCCACACTAGATATGAAGCTGTTCAAAGTTGCATCTTTTTTCAGAGCTTCTATTAAGTTCCAAAATTTGGAAGTCAGAGATTGAAAATGTCTGACATAGGATGTCACATTATATTGGCAAAGAGGAAAAGCATTACACTTTGGAAGTCAAAAACAAGGAGTATAAATAAATCCCAAACTTCCAGTAATGGAATTGCCTTGTTTTTTTTTCAATCATCACAGTCTATCATTGATAGTCATCATTGAGAGTAAAAAGTCACACCTCTATAACACATATTGAGCAGTGATAAATTTCCATTTCAATCTAATTGTGACCTTTGAACCAGATTCAGTATGATTAATTTTCTGAAAATCTATAGTAACCCAGTCTAAGAAATCATTAAGATTAATATTTACAACAGTTGGGTTTTGGGTCATTTTAATATAAAAATGTGAATATGAATTATAAGTAAGAGAATGTCCAGTTACAGGTAAATGCACTGACACTGCTAAATATATGCCAGTATTATGAAGTAAGTGTAACACTTTATGTTACAGTAACTGAGAATGAATACATGTATAAATATCGCAAATCACATTTCTATGAAGTAAAGAGTAAAATGAATTTGGTAATGATGGACTATTGCCATCACAAAAACCTGCCTCTGAGCATTTTGTGTTCAGGTAAGTTTTGTAAATTATCAATATTATATAAGAGCTTAGTTTCTTATGAAATCTCATAAATTTCTAAAAGATTCATTTAACACTGACTCATTAATCACCTTGTAATGCCCCTTTAAGTTATTGCATTTTCCCCTAAAATTGTTGATACATTCCAGGGTAAAAACCCTTAAGCTAAAAATTATCTAGTCCCCCTGCCCTCCACCTCCTATTTCCTGCAAATATCCCATTCATAGTGGCACTATTTGTGTTTGCTTAAAGGGACTTCACTGAGGTTTAATAGCCTACAAACATAATATTTGAATTTCTTACATAAATAAGTTGGGCACTTTTAACAGAAATATGTGCAAAGATAGTTAAGAAATATAATTTGAAATAATTGAAAAAAGTATTTTTAAGCTTTTCTTAGATTTGAGTGAAAAGCATTTAAACACTTCATTTTGAGTCATTTTTTTTACAATTTCAAAATAAATTCTGGAAAAAAAGGTGCGCGAATGACCCAAAATTTTGCACAAAGATTAGTGGTGACTAAACCTACATCGAATGATACATTTATCTGGAAAACAATTTCAGTCCCATCATGTAAAAAACCTCAGTGGAGTCCCTTTAAACACCCCTTTAAGGATATGCATAATTATATCCAATTAATTTTTTGATAAGGATCTTAAGTTTATGATATATGTGTAATTATAGAACAGAACAGAACAGAACATGAATTTTATTTTAGATTATTTGAGCATTTCGCTCCTCGTCCATAACATAATTATACATTATTATGTCAAAGTCAAACAATATAATGATATAATACAATATTGAAAATGACATTATCTGTGGTACATATGACAAAAGAAGGTATAGAATATATATCAGTATCATTTTACATGAAATTCTTAACGTACATGACAATAAATTGAGCATTTATTTATATTATATATTTATTAATTATTTATTGTAAAAGATTATGTCTAATTCTTAATGCACAATTTAGGAAACAAACTAAATTATTCAACATTTTTTCATTTCTTGTCGACAACAACTGGGTAAGTTTAAACATAGATGGTCTTTCATAATAATATTTATCAATGTAACGTTTTCTTATAAGTCTGTAGCAGGGACACACACAAATCATATGGAATTCATCTTTGTCTGAACAGAGATATAAAGTGGTTCACATTTACTGTTAACGGTGTTTCAAACACGTATCCAAAGCCATGTTCATATAATAACTTCTTTACTTTTGAAACCCATTCGACAAAGTAAAGTCAGCACTGACAAGCCGGTTCAGGATAATCCGACACACACTCCTATACATATGCAGCATTTCAATCCGCAATTTGAAAACGTCACGCCACAGAATATGGCAGAGGCTCCAGTACCAAAATCACATGTGCACAAAGACACAAATCAATTTGTACAGCAAGGTACTGAGTTGAGGCACTATGAATCACATCAGCAGCCTCACACATTAAATAACACAGAAATATACGGTGTAAATACAGAACACAAATCGTATACGAACACAAATACTGGGGACCGTGCGAGTTCAAGCTTTACATTATCTCAAGAAAACAGCAACGGACATTTTGTCTCAGCTCCAACACATACCAGCGAATCATGCCTCATTAATACTTTTTCAAATGAGAATGATACAGCAAATTTAATATCGAGTGCAATTGTTGTTAATAATGAAACTCAATATTTAAATAATGAAACTCAATATTTAAATAAAATACTTATTTCTGTTTTATCACAAGATAATTCAGTCCCAACTGACAAACACCAAAAGACAAATAATCCAAGCAATTTGAGTAACGATACACAATTTGTAAACACTTCCTTGAATTCAGTGCACAAAAATGGCTCGACACATACAGAAAAACAATCAGGAGTATCTCATGTTTCTCGTACAAACAACCGTAGTATGCGTAGATCAGTGTCAGCAAGTCCATATAGAGGAGTATCTAATAATAGAAGTAAAAAACCCACCAATGCTAATAATAGACAGGTGGAAAACCCATTGTCAGCTGAGCAAGGTCATGTGTCTAAAAATTTATAGGATGAACTGGAGGAGGTGCGCTTGCGCTGTGTACTTTTAAACGTGCAAGGTCTAGTTACAAAAAGAATAAATAAATTAAAATCAGAGTTATTAATAAATATCTTTAAAGAAAATGACATTATTATGTTTACAGAAACTTGGACAAATGAATTTTCAGATATTTATATGGAAGGGTTTGAGCATTACGTTTTAAACAGAACTCTGACTAAGAGTACATGTAAACGCAATTCCGGGGTGTTATCATTTATGTAAAAGACTATCTTGTATCCGAAAACACGTTGTTATTTACAAGTCAAGATGATATTATATGGATCAAAATTTCTGCTGAAAAACTATGTATTGAAAAAGATCTTTTGGTCGGGTTATGTTACGTTTTGCCCGACGACAGCAGCCGACAATCGGTAGTTGAAAACTGTATTTTTGATCGATTATTAGATTCCGTAGTATACGGAGAAAATAACTGTGAAAATGATTGCTATTTGGCCTTATTTGGTGATTTTAACTCGCGAACATCTACCCTTCCCGACTACGTGTCACATGACATATGCGATCACATGACTATGCTACCAGAAGATTATAAAGTGGATACAGAAATGCCGCGGTCGTCTCAAGGTCATGTTAATAATAATGGACGGCTATTATTAGATTTTTGCCGACAGACTGGTTTAAGAATTTTAAATGGTCGAATAGATGAAGATTTAAATTTAGGCAAATATACATTTGTTAATCATCGGGGTTGCAGTTTGATAGATTATGTATTATGCAGGAAAGAAATGTTTACGTTAATTGACATTTTCAAAGTTGATGATCCAAATATTTTATCGGATCACTGTATTTTATCATGTTGCTTTAAATTAAATGGAATTTGTACATTACAGAATGTTAAAATACACAATCAAGTACCAAATTTTGTTGAATCAAAATACATATGGAAAAATAGTTTGAAAATGGAATTTATTGATAGTTTGAGTGATAATGAAATATCACAAAGTATTGATTTGTTGTCAAATGAAATTTCAAATTGTTGTACATATGATAGTATTGATAATTGTCTTACTAATTTTGAAAATATATTAGATAAAGTAGCATCACCTATTTTAAAAAAGAAATTAAAACCACAGTCGGACGAGATTGTTTATAATTGTGAGAATGATAGTCCATGGTTTAATGAAGAGTGTTATGAAAAGAGAAATAATTTTTTACATACTCTTAATGAATATAGATTATTTCATTCGGATGAAAATAGAGAAAATATGGTAACTGCTAGAAAAGAATATAAATCATGTTTGAGAAAGAACAGATACAATTATGATAAGGGGAAAACATGTAAGCTTTTAGATAACAGATTTAAAAATGCACGTCTTTATTGGTCTATGTTGAAAGAGTCTGCAGGTATAAAAAGATCAAATATACAATTATCGTCTTTTGAGAGTTATTTTAAAGCTGTTAATAATCCAAATGATGTATTTTTTAATCCTGACGAAGAAATTTTATATTTTAATGAAAGATATTGTGATAATGAGTTTAAAATTATGTTCGAAGAATTAAATGCCATCAT